TATATGCATGTATGAAGAGATGTACACATATAAGTGTGTTGGACAGCATGACTTATTCCACAGGGTCCTCTGGTATTACCCACAATCTATAAATCTATCATTCAACTAATTTACATTAATCTTAATGGGTTTAGGTTTACATCCCCCAATGCTTATTAATAATATTGGATCTTTGTAGTACAAAACTATTTACTGTGAATCCCAGGAAAACACACTTGGGGCTCATATAAGAAATGCTACATAGTAGGAACTGATATCTAGCTACAAACAATGAAAGGCTCAAGCCATAAATAAATTCCAACCCCAGAAAGCTCCGCCCGGAATAAGAGACCTTACGCCCTCCACGAGTCACTAACACAAGCCCCGTCTCATTAACAAGGTGTCTACCAGAGTAGTACTGACATTGAAAATAAATTTAAAACAATATAAAGAGACAGACAATTAGGGGCTGGTGATAGCTGAATACAGATTGGCTTGAAATAGACTATCCCCATGTTGAGGTAATTTTTAGTATTTTACTGTAAATGTATATATATATGAAAATTTTTGTACTCCCACCAAATGGAAAAATGTAAGAAAGCTGGAAAAATTAAACAAAAAATAAATTCAAATGTTCCTTGTGTGTCATATTTAATTAAAGATATTTAAAAGGTTGCTGCCCAAATATATATATATATATATATATATATATATATATATTAAACATTTCTTAGAAAAACATAGCCATGTACATAATATTAGATAGTTATTGATAACACAATAATGCTCACATACACACAGTAAAAAGGAACCTTCAGATATTGGAGACTATGTACATTAAAAGAAAGTGGCTCACACTCAACAAAATTACATTTCAAACTAGTCACAACACATTACATTGCATCTAGACATATGGTTCTATTGTTAATATCTCAGCCTCTCACATAGTATGATGTCATAGATCCACATCTTGAACTTATGAACTGCGTCTACTATTCTGTGACAATTATCATCACATAGCAATCTTCTATGTCAACATCATCCTCAATGGGGAATATCTTTGTAAAAATGTCCGTATAACAACTCTGGTGATAGCTCATATGAGCCAAAAGCTTAGATAAAAGACTAACTTAATAAAAAACTATTCAAATGTTGTACAATTTTTGTCTTAATTTTCACTTGAAATTAAAGCAAACATATGAACATTAGAACAGGTCATGATCAGACAGAATGAATGTCTACTATGTCATATTTAACAAAATATGTTTAAATATATATGTTGATCCTTTTTGTCTTTTTGACATGCCTCTGAGGTTTTTTTTTTTTTTACACACACTGTTTTAATTATTCATATTTGAATGTTACTACACAGCAGTCATCTTGAAACAACTTCTATTTGATTAACTAAATATATATCAGAGCTGTAATTTTTAATATTACCAACTTTTATAATACAATAAAAATGTTAGGGTTTTCTAAAAGAAGCAGACAAGAAAAAAAAAAAAAAAAAAAAAAAAACACTTTTATATTCTGTTCAAACCCTTGTGCAGTATTATTGATATTTCTTGTGATAAATGTTTAAGGAATTCATTCCCAGCATTCTCAGTTCCCCCAAATGCAACTTGTAATCATCCTCTTCATTCCAGAGATTCCACTTGGAAGCAACTCCGCTGTTACTCAGGAGGCAAATATTAAAAGATAGTTAATTTGCATGTGTACAGAGATAGTATAACATGGAATGAATCATAAAAGTTTTTAATGAGTCATGAATAACATAAGAGTGAAAAAGATGTACTGTTTGATAAATTATTACAAATTCTGGGTAGGTGAGGCTAATTAAAATGACAAACTTAGAAAAAGAAAAATCAGAGCAAGGAACAGCTAACATTTTTTTAGCTAGAAAATCAATAGTTAGTGAAATCACTGAAATGGTAAAAAATTCACTTTTCAGATTTCTGGTATTTACATGTATTTTATCAGTATTTTTCATGCAACCATTATCTGAACTGGTGAAGATTAAAGCGATTTATTAAGCTTAGTTTATTCTGGTACAAGGACATGTACAGTTGAGGGTAGGTTTTATAAGTTCATAGCAACTAAAAAGTCTTATGGAGATTGACCTATTTTGGAGTATTATGTGACTCCTTTTGAAATTAATTTTTCTTTATTCTGATGATCAGTTGTTTGTACTGAAGCAAAATTACAAACTTGTTTCAAATAGTGCATTCCCCCGACACTCTTAATAATTTTTGCTTTTCAATTAAATTTAACTGCCAAGTTAACAATTCATTTTCTTAATGAATGTCGCCTTAAACCCCAACTTGGTAGTTTCAAAATAAAGTCCTAGCCACCCCTCTCCGGAGGGAGACGGGTCATTACCCGGCGCTTGAGGCGTCCCCGAATGTGGGAGTGTCGAGGGGACTTGAGCAATTTACCCACAGTATTGCACTTTAAACGTCGACCTTGTGTAGCGACGTTGGCGCGCTGAAAATCCACTTAAATTTCAATCATGGTCAATTTTTTAAAGACAAGACTTGTAAAAAAAAAAAAAAAAAAAGACTAAAAGAATTTTTTTTCTTCTGAAGCACGGAAGTTTAGGTTAACATTTTTAACAATATCAGTTTTAATTTTTATAAACTTAAAGCAAAAACCGGGAGAAATGTATTGAAAACGTATAAAACACACACACAATAAATAAAATAAAAAAAATAAGAGGGTATTTTGCTTTTTCTAGGTAATTTAGTAATTGATTTAAAAAAAAAAAAAAAAAAAAAAAAAAAGAATTTTATTAACTGAAGCCAATTCGGAAACAAAGCATAAACTCAAACAGGAAAATGTGCAGTTCTTTATTAGTTTAAGTAAGATTGAAATAATACACGAAGCAAAACGGTCTCAAAATTGTGTACTCATTATTATTACAATATTAAAAAAATCATAACATAAAAAGTTAAAAACACTTATTGATATTTTTTAAGGATTGTTTTGTAGAGATATATGTGTGCATGCGTTGGTTAGAAATAAAAAAGAAAGTTTAAAAAAAGTAAGAAAACGAAGATTGTCAAATTATGATTTAAAAATGCACAGCCTTTCTTTCTGTAATTAAAAATGCAAACAAAACTTGCAATTAAATGTTTGCTAGGAATGTATGCAGCTGCATGGTTATTAAGTGGAGATTGTTGTGGTGTGTAATGTGTGTGTGTTTCTCTCAAGTCATGTACACAGTGAAGTGCACAGTTCTCTTGCTGGATGATGACAAAGAACATCAGCATTCCATTGTATGGCACATCACATTCCATTAGAAAGAAGAACTAATAAAAAAAAATAATAATAATAAAGAAAGAAAGAACTTTCAGATACGATTGCTATTCATTTTACTTTCATCCGCCATCGACTCAACCGAAACAAAAAGAATATGCAAAAAAAAAAAAAAAAAAAACCAGGATAAAGAAAGATAGACAAAAAATGGAAATAAAGAAATATTTAAGAAGTAATATGGAAATTATTAAATAAACAAATAGAATGAATTATTTTAAGTTCTATAAAAACAAAAGAAAAAGATCGAATCATTTTTTTGACCAAGTTATAAATTTCAATACCAGAAAAAAACCCAAAAAACACAGGAATAATAAATAAACAATGGCATTTTTTTTTTAAATTATGGAGTCTGAAAAAAATAAAACAATTCTGGATAAGGCAAATTCATGGGAAAAACAATTTTAGGCAAAAAAATAGTAACTAAAAAAAACTAAGATAATAATTGGAAACAAAAAGAAAGAAAAAAAAAAAGATCTCAGACAGCTGATCTGGGTCGATTATTTATTTGCTAAATCAATAAAAAAAATCATCAATATTTAAATAAACTTTAATAAACTTTTAAACATGATTTCAGTAAATAAACAAAACCACGTTTATTTTTTATTATTTTCCTTATTCACTCACATGAAAATTAAAAGAAAAGTATTTTTATTTTTAGTACCTTTTTTCTTTTAAGATTTTATAATATTTTTTTTTTATATTTGTACATTTAAAACAAAATCATATTTACAATAATAATTTCTTTTTTATTTTGTATACAGTGGTATTTAAAATAACCTTTAAACAAAGAATTTTTCCAGCCGGCACAAACAAAAAAATGTTTCGATTGTGAAATTCTGAAATTTAAAGAAATAAAATAGAAATACTTTTAGTTTTTTTTTTTTTTTTTTTTTTAGATAGAGTTATTTAGTTTGGGTAAAAAAAAAAAAACACAAACAAAAAGCTACAGGTCACATTCGACCAAAATAAATAAGTCCATATTATTTATTTTGTTGGTGATAATTGGTAAAAGAAAGGAGAAAAATTTCTGATTTCAACAACTTCAAATGTCAAATTACAGAGAAAAAGAAAAAAAACAAATAAACAGAAAAATGCAAAAACAAATGAAATAAAAATAAAATTAAAAAAGGAAACACAATTAAAAATAAAAATAAATCCCTGGAGAATCCGGCGGCTGGACGTGCTGGAATTTTAAAAACTGTTTCGATAGACTTTGTTTGTTTTTGTTTATGGCTGCAAAAGTTATTTTTTCTTAAGAAAAATAATGGAAAATTGTGAAATTATGAGGAGAAATCTAACATATACTTTGTTAAATATTTACTTTTTAAGTATATTTTCGGAAGAAAGGTGGGTGGATACTTTTTCTAACCCCCCTCAATAAATAAATAAATTTAAAAAAAAAAAAAAAAAAACATTTTCGAATTTCGATTGAATTCCATTAATTTTTTTCCTTTCAAGTTCTTTTCCCTCCGTGTAAAATACTAAAACACGGAAAAACATATAAGAAGTTCATAGTTACAATGCTGTGGAGACTAAACATCTATTTCTTTCTTTTTTTTTTCCATCGTGTACAAATTTGTTTGTTTTTCTGCCTCCTCCTAAAATAAAACGATAGCCTGTTCGTTGTTTTGGCGTTTTACTTGAATGTTACTTCGTCCCTTTGCGGCCTTGTTTGTCATGGCGGCCGGTGGCTTTTCATTGGTCCAATGCGGTCATGTGACCAAAGGTCGCGTCTGCCCGTCGTCCCAGCTCATTTCAGATTGATTCGCTGCAATATGGCTTCGCTTGCGTAGCCTCACTTCGCTCGTTTGGTTTTTGGGGGATAAAGCTGTGCATTTTCTTGTTGGAATCAGTTTTAGGATGTCTGCACTTACATACAGAATAACTAGGCTGAGCGCAAGAAAACAGAGGAGGACCAATCGTACCAAATCACGGACATCACAACGCAAAAACTTGGGTGAGTACATCAGTATGGTAGCTAAAAATCAGAGCAGTACCCACTGTCACAATTATTCTGACTTCACATTTATACTTAGCAGGAGTCTAAATAGTCACAGACTTGATAATTAGAAATAAAAATCGCATAATAACGCAATATGGATTTATAATCAGGATAGAATATAAATATTTGTAAGCAGAGAATAATATCTACAAGTCTTAAACTGACAACGAACGCTTTGTAAACAGTGAAACACAATTTCATTTTCGTATATTATTTACACAATAATTGTGGACAAACCATGTTGTTCTGATATAAATAACCCATCTTCCCGTTTTCCGTCTATTTCGTTAAGATAGATACCTTGCATACTTCACTTATATTCTAGTAGAAATGGCAAATTCCGTTCTTCGCTAATCTAAAGATCTGAAGAGTGCAAAGGAAAAATAGATTTTTGAAAGATTGATCCAACCGATTTTTGTTTGTATTTTTTGAACTGATCGTTTCGGATAAATTAAGAAGAACAAATAACATGTGAGATACCAGGAATTCTTCAGGCAGAACAAGGAATAACAGACCATATTTTAGTTTTAAATCATGTAATTTATCCAGATCTGATAGTTACATAGTATTTCTCTTTTTTTTTTCTTTTTTTAAATGACGGACTGCTGCTTTGTTGTACATAGATTTGCTGCAACTACAAAAAATGTCTTTATTTTAATTTTGCTGTAAACTTTCTGCAGTCACAGTCTATCAGAATCAGTTTGGCTTACGCAAATTTAAATGGAAGTTTGCAAATTAAACATGCATAATTCTTTTCTTTTTCTTTTTTTTTTTCATTATATCATTTTTATTAATAATCCATTTCATTTTTTTTAAGATATGAATGGGGGAGGTACTCTATTTCCATAAGTAATACTGTGTAAGCAGATATTTATTTAGTTCCTCTTCCTCCTACACACAATGATCAGCCTGTCGTCATTGTTGTAATAAAAAATTCAAAGCAGATTACCTAAAAAAAAAACTAAAAGTTTAAATTTCTCATCCAGCATGTTTTTTTTTTTTTAGATTTGAATTTACAAAGTTAAGAAGGCTCTAATAAAAATAATGAAAGAAATAATAAATGTTGAAAAAAGGAAAGGTATGAGGAAGCAACAATGCTTGATGCCTCCCAATAACAAAGGAAAGGTAAGAAGCAGCAACAATGCTCTCTCCTTCCTTAATGAAAAAGGAAAGTAAAGAAGCAACAATGCTTGACCCCCTTTTTCTCTCCTCCAATAGAAAAGTAAAGATAAGACACAATATAACAATACCTCACAATATCGCTTCCCAATGCAAAACAAAAATAGTAAGAAACGGCAACAATGATTGATCCCACCTCTTTCCCTCTCACCAATAAAATAAGGAAAAAAAGTAACAATCAGCAACAATACCTGATCCCTCTACTCACCCCTAATAAACAAACAAAAAAAAAGATAAAGGCAAACAATGATGCATGACCCCTTTTCCTCCAGTAAAAAAGGGAAGTAAGAAACAATTCCAGATCCCTTTCTTTCACTAATAATAGTGATGATAATGATAATAAAAAGAATGGTAAGGAGCAAGAATGCCTGACCCCTCACCTGTTCTAATAAAGAAGAACCAACAATACTTGACCTACCCCTCAAAAGAAGGCATTCTTTTATTAACGGCATACACAAATTTGAACATTTTTAAACATCTACACTTTATTTGTTTGAAAGAACCACACTTTTTAACCACAATCTATTTCAGCTCCTTTTTTTCCTTAGGAAATTAATTTATTATTAATTTATTATCATACATAAAACTAATCAAAGTTAATTTTATTTTAAACAATTGACTTTTGATAATGCAAAATTAAATTTTAAGAGGAAAAAACATCAAGTTGACATTTTAGTGTTCCCTCACACAACAAAACTCATTTACTGATAGAAGATAACATCAGGAAGCAGATGAATCCCTTTTATTTTTCCTCAGGTATTATTTATCTTTTGCATCCATTTCACGATAATCAGTAATGGGGATGAAAATAAAAAAAAGTAATTGCAGTAAAATAATTTGAAATTTATACCCTACCCTCCACCATGAGAATATTTTGGAATATTGCAAAAATTCTGTGTATATATTCATCTGGAAGAATGATATACAAATTTCTATATGTCAAAAACAATGTTATTGTTGAATCATAGAATGACAAAATGGAAAATATTTTATGTAGTGCATTTTATTCTTTAAAAAGAATATCAGAATGAAATAATGTTCTTACTGATTGAATTATGTAGGGGAGGTGTAAAAATATAAATGAAAATGTCAGTTATAATTATGTACCATGAAGAAACACTGAAAATGTGTAGGGATGCTAAATTTTCTGGCATCTGACATGTTTCGATGCAAACATTCATCTGATTTCATTTAATTTTCCAATGCTTTTGTTTTTATAGCTATTGTTGTTATATATCCCAAACTGATAGCAGGAGATTTGTCTAAGGAGAAATGTAAGAATCTGGATGCAAATTTACCATGGAAGACTCAAAAGAAATTGGTGCATTTCCTATCTACTTTTGCCTTAGTAAATTACTTTTTATTTTAAGGCAGCATTTTTTTTAAGTTGAAATTGTGGTTAGATTCATTATGATGAATGTCTAATGCATTGAGTGTGTTGTTTTCTAAAAGTTGATTTTATGATATAACCTTTTACTTTAAATTCCTCAAAGTCTAACCAATGTATTTGTTGTGGTATTTATTACAGTCTATCATGTAAATTCTTGCTTCAGGTTTTAGGCTTTTGTTTTCTATTAAGTCTCTTATTGTTTTAGAACTAGTTGTGACAAGCTTTATATTAAGTTTAAATATTTTTCAATTGTAATTGATAGAGTTGGTAGGTAGTATGCTATGTCCAGTGTTATTAAGTTTATTTATATTATTCATTCTCTTATTTTTATAAATTTGATGAGCTTTCTGTTTGGCATTAAATATGAAATAATTATGATATTGGAGCTCAAAATATCCTGAGTGGCTATTGTAATGAATGTATAAAAACAAAGCTGAAATTTAAAGTGAGAAATTATAATTTTGTTTCATTTTTCAAATCTTTACTCAAAATAGACTTCAATCAAATGAACAAGTTTCACTTGATTTGGCAGTTATGCATTCATCTTCATCACTTTCTGAAAATAAAGAAATTGAATTTTCTGTTTATTCATTCTCACCATTATAACAAGGTGCTTGGGATTTTTTACATTTTTATTTTTTCTTACAATATTCAGTCCTTCTTGCAAACAATATGTTAAAAAGTAAATATTTGTGTAAAATAAATGTTTTTTTTATTCTTGATTCATTTTATATTCAGACTATTGTCCTCATTTTTCTTTTTAATTTTCTATTTTCGGCATTAGGATGCAGACTTATTCATATATCTATAATTATATTTTATATATTATATTTTTCTAATCCATATAACAAAAAAAAACTGCTGTTGTAAAGTTTAGCTTTTTTTTTTTTTTTGAATAGTCAATATTATGATATTTAAATAAAAAGCGGGGTTTTTTTTAGAATATTAGTGGAAAATATTATTGAGAAATACCATTCAATAGCTAAAATTTAACTTTAAAGTTCTTTGGTTTTATTAGGCTTGGTCTCTTGTAAAGAAATCTATTCACTTAAAACTCTTCATTGTTCAAATGAAAATAGCTTCCAATATCATCAAACACTATTACTAATTTTATCTGACCTACAGCACTTAGCTACAGATTAAAAAAATCTGTGAATATTACAATATTAAACTTTTGTTTTAAAAAATTCAGACTTTTTGATTTTGGATCACTTAAGATTGAAGTGTAGGAAAACATATTTTGAGTTTCAACATTATAAAGAAGAAAAAAGAGAATTAAGTGTTGGCTTTTAAGAAATGACAGGCTCCTAGATGAATAGAAAGTGTTGTTTTTCAATTTGATGCTTTTATGTTTATATTTGTAAAAAAAATTCTTTTAGCTTTGAGTATTAAAACTAATTTAGTTATATTAAATAATAAAGCCAAGAATTTGTTGTCAGCTATTAAGTTAATAATTTCAATAAATGTTGGGTAAGTGACAATTGAACATGAATAAAAAGGAATAAGACTGATTTTCTTTTCAAAAATTTCTTGAAGGTTTTCAACTGCAGATCTATACAGAATATATCTAAGTACATAAATCTGTAGTCCAATGAACAAAAGTATTTTACACAACAAATATTTATTTTTCAATATATTCTTCTTGTCAATGCACTTAATTCAGTCCTGGATATTAATCCTATACATAGGCACATGAATATGTAGCTTAATGATGAAAAAAGCATTTATTTTACACAATTTTTTTTTTCAATATATTCTCCTTTCTTGTCAATGTACATAATTTAATGATGAATATTATTCACATACCTAAAACATTGCACAGTGAAACTTTCAGATCAAAATTTAGCTATTAACTACATAATGTCAGTCTACAAATTTATTGATCACCTTCAGTCAATTTAAATTGTATAATTATATTAACTGTAATAGTCATATAAAAGTCACTGAAAGTTTTCAGAGGTATATAAACATCAGGTGCTTTTTGATATTTCCTACACTTTATATTTTTCAAAATGTTACTATTAAAAAGCTTTAGTTTGAAAAAAAAATGTTTATTGAAGTCATTTTCAGAAAATGTAAACTTTATATATGGCAGGAAATGTCTACAGGTATTTTTTTTCTAACTGTATTTTGTAATTTTTGTTCTTTCAGAAAAGACCATTTGTTTGGGAAACTTAAATTCAAAATCATCTTTACATTTGATAAAAAGTTTTAACTCTGAATCATCTCTCACATTGAATAAGCATAATCTCAAGTTAAAATATCTTTAAGAGATTTTTGTAAAATTGATGTACTTTTAAAAAAACTTTAATGCAATTTCCTGATAATTCCTAATAGTAGTCCATTTTATCTTTGGTTTGTAATTATTAAATACATTGTTTGAAAG